AGATGCGTACTTTGTTTGGCTTCACTATGGCCAACATGCTGGATACCCACTGCGTCGGTTCTGTTACTGGAATAATAACTTTACGATCAACAAGTTCGTCCAGCTTGTTTTTGATGCATGGACGCAAGGCTACTGGCACTCGCCTCGGTGCGTGGACAACTGGTTGCGCCTGTTCGTCTATGGCTATTTTGTATGTTCCCGGTAGGGCCCCTAATCCGTCGAATACGTCCTCATACTCTTCGAGCAAGGAGGCTTTGGGACACTTGACGTGTAATGCTAGGACGTCACAATTATGCAAACTCACAAAGCCAAGATTGAGGCTGGTGTTCAATGATAAAATCGGTTGATAGTCTCCGTCTAAGATGTTAAACTCCATTGACCTCCGCTGTCCACGGGACCACACAGGCAGGGTAGCTTTACCAGCAATTTTGCGGCGATCCCCTGTGTACGAGACTATTTCCTTTTGGCATGGTTTGAGGCGATGAAGGAGGGTGTCCCCAGTGATTTGCTTGTATAATTGGGCCGGGAGAATGTCGCACTGCGACCCAGTATCTATTTGAAACTGGACTTCTGTCTTGGGATCTGGCCCATAAATGTGGAGTTTGACCACTGCCAATTTTTCCTGGCCTTTGCTCTTACTAGTAGTGTAGTGACAGTCAAACATTGGAAACTTCATTTAAGTAACTTTACCGGTACTCGTAATTTACATTGTTAATGTTATTGTTAATCCGGGATACCGATACCTTTTAGTGCCCGTCAACACATATGTCAGCGGACTCGTTCTGTGAAGACGCCATTTTGTGAAGTATATGTAGCACGAGGTTTTTGTAGATTAAAGCCTTTAGAAACGAGGCCAAACGTTTGTTTAACTATCATAACAATTTAATCTACAAAAAAAAAAAAAAAAAAAAAAAAACAAATGGATAAAGTCCTCAGGCCCGAGAGATTCAGCGCCGATCCAAGCACGTCTGGAGCATCAAAATCGTGGATTCACTGGCGTCGAACCTTCGAAAATTTCCTCGCCGTATTGACGGAAGAAGGCCTCGATAAATTTGGAGTCCTGACAAATTTTATTTCGCCTGCGGTATTCGAATATGTAGAAGAATGTGCCGACTACGAATCTGCAATCGAAACTCTTCAAAATATTTTCGTGAAGCCGACGAACGAAATCCACGCCAGACACGTGCTCGCTACCAGACGACAACAGGTTGGTGAAACTCTAGACGAATATCTTCAATCGCTCAAAACTCTCGCCAAAGACTGCAACTTTCAATCTGTCACCGCTGCCAAATATTGTGAGGAATATATACGGGATGCTTTCATTACTGGGCTACATTCTAACCAAATACGCCAAAGGCTACTAGAAAACAAAACTCTAGATCTGAAAACGATGTTTGACCAGGCCAGGGCGCTCGACTCTGCCATGCGCAGTTCAGAGAGTTACTCTGTCCCTCAACCTGTCAGCGTTGCAGCCTCAGCACAAGAAATGACCGCTCAGAATCCAATCCAAGTCGACTCTGCTCAGTCAGACTCCACACTCGCTGCAATTGATTCAAAGTGCTTCTTCTGTGGAAATCCTAAACACCCTCGTTCCAAGTGTCCAGCCAGAGATGCAATTTGCAATAAATGTCAAAAGAGGGGACATTTTGCGAAAGTCTGCCGAAGCAAGGCCTCTAAACCCAGCGAAGTTTCAGCTGCTCTCTGGCCACCTGCTCTTGCCACCGTAGGAATTCCCCAATCTCTTAAAGGATCAACTGCTACTGTTGTTGTCAACAAGGTCTGGAGTGTAGAAGCACTCTTTGACAGCGGAAGCAGTGAAAGCTACATACATCCAAGCCTCGTTGAAGTAGCTGCTATCTCTGTTAACCCTTCGGTCAGCCAGGTCTCCATGGCAACATCTTTGTTAAGTACAAAGACCGAGGGCTCTTGCTCTGTTACTATTAACTACCAAGGTCAAACTTATAAAGACTTTCGCCTGTTGGTTATGCCAGGGCTTTGCTCTGATCTGATTTTAGGACTCGATTTTCAGTCTCAACATGATAGTGTCACATTCAAGTATGGCGGAACAAAACCGCCGCTGTCGGTATGCAGTCTCACTACTCTGAACATAGAGCCGCCATCACCATTTTCAAACCTCACTGCCGACTGCCATCCTATTGCTACAAAGTCCAGGCGCTACAGCAAAGAAGACCTGAACTTCATTGGCAATGAAGTAGAACGGTTGCTCAAGGAAGGCATTATTGAGCCAAGCCGGTCCCCTTGGCGGGCACAAGTAGTTGTCACAAAGGATGAAAATCACAAGAAACGCCTAGCTATTGATTATTCCCAGACAATCAATAGATTCACCCAACTAGATGCTTTCCCGCTGCCGAGGATCAGTGACACGATCAACGAAATAGCTCAGTACAAAGTGTTCAGTACCCTTGACCTCCAGAGTGCGTATCATCAAATACCTTTAAGAGAAGATGACAAGCCTTACACTGCGTTTGAAGCTAAAGGTGGACTTTATCAGTTTACCAGGCTTCCTTTCGGTGTAACCAACGGTGTAGCCTGCTTCCAAAGAGAAATGATGAGATTTGTTGAAGATAACCACTTGAAAGCTGTGTTTCCATACATCGACAACATAACTGTATGTGGAAAGGATCAAGCTGACCATGATGCTAACCTCATATTATTCCAGGAGGCTTCTCAAAAGGCGAATCTTAAATTCAACGACAGCAAAAAAGCGTCTTCTCTGCTCAACGACTGCCATTACTGGGATATGTCATTGAAAATGGTTCTATTAGTCCAGACCCCGAAAGATTAAGGCCTCTACTGGAGCTCCCACTGCCGCAAAGCTCAAAGGCTCTTAATAGATGTCTGGGACTTTTCTCTTACTATTCTCAATGGGTTCCTTGTTTCGCCGACAGAATTAAACCCATAACCAGCTGTAGATCATTTCCTTTATCTTCTGAAGCACAGAAAGCATTTGAAGACTTAAAGAGGATCATTGCCAAAGCTGCTGTCTCTGCCATAGACGAGAGTATTCCATTTGAGGTGGAAACAGACGCCTCAGATGTAGCGCTTGCCGCTACCCTAAATCAGAAGGGCAGACCTGTAGCCTTTTTCTCCCGCACCCTTCAAGGTAGTGAACTGAAACACTCTGCTGTAGAAAAGGAGGCTCAAGCAATAGTTGAGTCGGTCAGGCACTGGAGACATTTTCTCACCGGGTCCCACTTCACTCTAAAAACGGACCAAAAGTCAGTTTCCTACATGTTCAACCAGCGTCATCAAGGAAAGATTAAGAATGACAAGATAATGCGCTGGAGGATTGAACTGAGTTGCTATAGCTTTGACATAGAGTATCGACCAGGCAGAGATAATGTAGCACCGGATACCTTCTCACGAGCCACGTGTGCTTCTAGCGTCAGTGATGCTCTCTACAAGCTCCATGATTCGCTCTGTCACCTGGGATTACCCGATTATGGCATTTTATTCGAGTCAAGAACTTGCCTTATTCTCTAGAAGATGTTAGGAGGACTGTGAACTCCTGTCCAATCTGTTGTGAATGTAAACCGGTATTCCACCGCCCGGACCCAGTTCAACTTATAAAAGCTACCCAACCCTTTGAACGAATCAACATTGACTTTAAAGGGCCACTTCCTTCCAACGACAAGAACAAATACTTCCTGAATGTTGTTGATGAGTTTTCACGGTTCCCGTTCGTTTTCCCTTGCCCTGATGTGTCTACTCCGACCGTTATAAAGTGTCTCACCACATTGTTTTCTCTATTTGGTATGCCTGCCTACGTGCATTCTGACAGAGGGGCTTCGTTTATGAGTCAAGAGTTACGGGAATTCCTCTCTAGCAAAGGTGTATCTACAAGTCGTACAACCAGTTATAACCCCACATGTAATGGTCAAGTTGAGAGGTACAATGGCACTGTATGGAAGGCGATTACAACGTCTCTTAAGTCAAAGAAGCTTCAGGCAGAACAGTGGCAATTGGTCCTGCCAGATGTGTTGCACTCGATCCGTTCTCTTCTGTGCACCGCAACGAATGAGACTCCGCATGAACGTTTCCTGAACTTTTCACGCCGTTCATCCACAGGTAGTTCGATCCCTCTTGGCTGGCTGAACCTGGCCCTGTTTATGTAAAGCGTCATGTACGACACAGTAAGTTTGATCCTCTGGTTGAAAAAAGCTGATGTTCTCCAGACCAATACTCACTACGCTCACGTTCGTTATCCTAATGGCAGAGAAACAACAGTTTCAACCAAGAATCTTGCTCCTTGTGGTCAAGTGGAACTTCTAGAACCACCCTCTTCAATCCAGCTCCCAGTCGTTAAACCCAATATTTCTAGTGAGTTTTCTCCCGTCAACGATCATCATGTTGATAAGACGCAAGAACCAACTAAAGAACCAGAACCCACAGAATTGAGGAGATCACAGCGAGAGCGCCGCCCTGTAGATAGGCTCAATTTATAGGAAGGGGTGAATGTAGTGACAGTCAAACATTGGAAACTTCATTTAAGTAACTTTACCGGTACTCGTAATTTACATTGTTAATGTTATTGTTAATCCGGGATACCGATACCTTTTAGTGCCCGTCAACACATATGTCAGCGGACTCGTTCTGTGAAGACGCCATTTTGTGAAGTATATGTAGCACGAGGTTTTTGTAGATTAAAGCCTTTAGAAACGAGGCCAAACGTTTGTTTAACTATCATAACAAGTAGTAGCACCAATGTAGTAGGGGTCGTTTCCCATGTCGACGGCTTCGTGGACCGCCGAAACTCTACTTTTCACTCCTCGGGGATTAGCGCGACATTTATTCGCAAAATGATTCATGCTCCCACAGTTAAAACATGTTCTTCCATACGCGGGACAATGACGTCCATGCACCATTCCGCAATTTCCACATTCTTTAGACGGTCTTCTAAATGCTTGTGACTTAAGTTGTCGTTCTTCTTCAGGTTTTTCTGCCGATCCCGCCTTCCGTAACGCATGAACTGCAGTGTCTCCTCCAGCCATTAGCTTTACTTGCTGTTGGGTCTGTTCTGACGACTTAATAATGTCAACTGCTTGTAGGAGAGATAAATCATTCAAACGGAGAAGTCTCTCGCGGACGCGATCATCCCGTATGCCTAGCACGAGGCGGTCACGCAAAATTTCATCTGGTGTGATTGTATCGTGTGCACAGTTTTTTGCGATCGTTCGAAGCTCCGTAAGATACGTCGAGATGTTTTCGCCTGGTTCCTGGTTTCGGTTGTTGAACCTGTAGCGTTCATATATGACCTGTGTCCTAGGAATGCAGAATTCGTCGAACTTCTTCAGGACTTGTGAAATGTCGTCTGCGTTTTCGTCTTCGTTCCAAATAAAGGTATCGTGGGCTCTGACGCCATCCTCGCCTATAATGCTTAGTAATGTCGACACACGAACTATGCCCTCTTGTTTATAAACACCAGTAGCGATTTCGTAGCGCTGCCACGCTGCTTTCCACGATTTCCATGCGGTGGCTAAATTGTCGTCAAAATTAAGCGCTTTCGGCGGGGGCAAATTTGACGGGGGAATAAAAACTTGAGTCGACGCTGGTGCCACAACTATGGATGCTTCAGCTGCTTCTGTCATCTTTAGGGGTGAACAGATCCCACTCCTGACACCATGTCACGATTCTGTGAACTCAAAAGAGTTGTTTATTGTGCGAACTCGACTGCCGCCACGTGTGTGTTCGTTGTCTCCCAAGTCTTCTAAATATATAGATGTTCATCGGCCCAGTGGCGTGACCGTGTAATGCAATATCACGACACAGTTCTGAGAAGTTGGGTATTGGATCAGCTATTAATCTCCTAATTGATATTTTTCTTCAATCTCATCACTTGTCTGCTTGATATTGTACTGATATTGTAAGGAGAAATTCTTTCCTGGTCACTTATGGGGTTAAAGGGTCAAGTGAACCGAGGGTCATGTGAAGTTTCTCATTATTTACCTGTCTCACAGCATCTTGCAGCTCAAGATTGTTGACAATCTCATCTGGAATCTGACGAACAACTCTTCTCTTATTTGCTCCTATTTCTTGAATAACAGGGAATGTAAGGCATTTCAATAACAGTGACTATTTTTTTTTTAATCCCTTGACAATATTTGCTCAAGGAACAGAGAGTTTGATCGGAATATTTTCAGCAAGATTTCCGTACTGTCCCATACAATTGAAAAACAAAGATAATCTATTGTTTTCGCCATCGTTTTCTTTCAGTTATCCAAGATATGTATGCATAATGAAGAATGGAGCTGAGCGGAAATCTTACCATATTATCCCCCAGGGATCAGAGACTTAAGCATGTATACTGGGTACAGGGCTGGGGATTTCGACTAGTATATCAAATTATAAGTAACAGTGCAAGGTTACAGATAAGGAAATTAAAACAAAACAAGCAAAAAAAAAATCATCCATTTATTGGGCTTAGGATACATATTAAAGTACAACATGAACGTAAAAATTATATCGTGTGCACCTAAAGGAAAGGAATACGACAAAAAAAGGAAGAGAAAGGAAGAAAATGCGTTAAAAATGGGTTTGAGAGTGGGAACGATTACAATTCTGTTCCTTCTACATAAACGTGTGCACGTGCATAGTGAATTACAAGCCGATATCAACTACATTGTACCTACGAGTTTTTCAGTCGTCTTTCCAGCATTAGCCTTAGTTCCCACAAATCTCCTTCTTATGTTATTCTCGGCAAAAACTGGCGCACAACTCGCTTTGTCCTCTAACGCGCAGCCTTCCGATGCCTCGGCCACGTTTGGTAGGTAAACCATGTTTCACCGCATATGAGGGATTTAGGGCTGTGACTAAAGGCGGGACTGAGATGTGGGGACTGGGACTCGGGGACGTGGACTCTGGGACGTGAACTCTGTGACGTGGGACTCGGGGACGTGAACAAACCTGATTTTTGCGCTGAATTTGTAAAGTATAATTTTCGGTGGTCTCGAGAAAAGAGTAATATGCTGGAGAGCTTGTCTGTAGTAGCCGATGATTTCCAGTGTCCATGGTTCGGCTGGATTTGTTTGCTTGCCTGTTTGACCGTGAGAACTCTGGGTACAGAATAATTTCAACGCAGGGGGTTTTAAACATCGTGAGCAGCCATGGAGGACTTTCTTGGTAAGTAACTGTATTTTCTTCCTTATTATTTTTCAGCAAGGATAAGGCACGGATCGAGAAGAAAACACAGTTACCTACCAGGAAACTGTTTCAAGACCCCTTGCGTTGAAACTATTCTATACCCAGAGTTCTCACAGTCAAATAGGCAAGCAAACATGTCCGGCCGAACCATGGACTACTACTAACAAGCTCTCCAGCATAATATATAGATTTAGCCAAGCCTAAAAGCGGAGTGCACCGACCACTGGACTACTGAACAAAGCCTGGTATTGGCGTCCCCGCGATCACAGTTGACCACGCATGTTAAAAGTAGCACCTTGTACGGTCGTACGATCGTACATCCAATTTTTTTCGGCTTGATGGGTTACTACTATTTTGTAATATATAGATTTAGCCAAGCCTAAAAGCGGAGCTCGCATTTTTTTTTTCCGCACGTCTCAAGGGCACAACGCCTTGCCCTGGCCAGGACTAGAACCTGGGTCGTCCGACTCGGAGCCCAGTGCACTGAACACTGGACTACTGGACAAAGCCGTGGTGTTAGCGTGCCCGCGGTATAGTTGACCACTTTCACAAAACGAACGAACGAACGAGGCTAAGCGAGAGTGAGTTTGTTTATTATATACGAACTGAGATGTTCTTGAAATTCAAAGTGATTTATCAAGTCGCTTTTACAAGTATCCGCTTAGGTTTGAAAGCTAATTCTATGGAACTAACAAAAAAAGTGCCTTACTAGTTAAATCAAGGCTGGAAATGGTGAAATTAAATACTGAAATGAATTAACTAAGCTTACAGCATGACAGTTTATTAGCAACGAATTAATTTTCGTAAGTATTCATTCAAAAATATCCTAAAAAAAAGGAGGAAAAGCTTGACAAAAATAAGTACTTAGCTTTTCAACGAAGCTGACTCTTTCTATGTCAAAGGTGGACTCATGTAGTGTCTTCGTCGTCTGAAAAGTCAAATATGCATGTTATTCCTCTATAAGTTTGTTGTTTATGTGCTTCTGTTGAAGACGAGGACGACTTGATGTTGAAATTTCTTCCGTAAAGCACAGCACCCTCGAATAGCCCTGCTGCTGTCGGCGTTTGACTTTGTTGTTACGTTGTTTCGACGAGAGTGTGTTTCAGTTTGAACTATTGAAGTCGGGCCACTCAATATTCTTGACATACTTTTCCATTGTTTTTTGTGAAAGATGACTGTAGTTGTAAGTACTCTTTACATTTTTGTGTCCTGATAACTGCATTATATATGATTAGAAGGAATACCCTTATCATTCAATGTTTGAATCATTCGTTTTCACGCACTGTGGTTCGTAAGGTGAGAGTGGTCAAGACCGTCTTTTTCAGCTATTGTTTTCATGAGACTGTTAAGTTTGTTAACTCCCATTGCATTGGCTTTGAACCAACTTTTAATTAACACCCGATAAAGGGGTGCATTTGGTTTGTTCTGGACTGTGGTCTCTTTTCAGAATAGATTTGAACAAAACAACAGCATCTCGTTCGTGCGGTAAATCTGGAGTCGCGAAAGCTTTAGGTTTGATAGGTCGGACTATACGTGAATCAGCTTCACTTCTGGTTTTAGTTTGTCTTTCAGTGACCTATGAGAGCGTGCAAACTATCTCAATTATTTTATAACCGTTTGTAGTTTTGTCTTGGATCATGCAAATCACATCTGCTAGGGTTAGGGTTAGGGTTTAGGGTTTAAACGAAAAGTTCACGAGGACATTGTGATGAAAATCAAACCATTCCAAAGGGATGGACCGTGAAGCCTTAGGTTCCCTGATAAGAGGAAATAAATGTTTCATTTTTGCATGCTCAAATCCATCTGAAGTTGAAAAAGGGTGATGTGCAAAACCGAAATAGATTCACTGCGGAGTAAACTACGGATTGGTTTTCCATATCAGTCTGAAAAGTTGATTATCGCGCACAGATAGCTTACCGTTCAAAGAAAGAAGCTTTGCTTCTACTGGTATCGATCTTGGGATGAAAATCTTCCAATGGGATAGACACAGAAGCCTGACGTTCCCTGTTAAAAGGAATGAAATAAGTTATTTTTACATGTTCAATTCCATCAGTGGTTATAAAAGAGTGATGTACAAATCTGAAATTCATTCGCTAGAGTTGGAACACTCACATCGTTTGAGGAAATGCTGATTCGCTCTCCATATCTCCCTCTCATTAATTCTCCCTTATTTTTTTCTCAGAGGGCACAGTAACATATCCTTCAATCTGATTGGTTCTTTGCGCGGTCCGTATCCGTTTTTCCCGACAGGCAGTATTTCTAAGCAAAGACGTCGGTCACTAACTCAAACCTATTACTAACTTATGAATCCTCTCTTTTCTCTCTCTCAAATCACCTTGGTTGACAGAAAAATATTGATTTCGAAATTAATTTGTATAAGCTAAAGTGCCATTAAATTGGTTGATAAGCGGCCTAAAACCTGTCTGTAATTAATTTCAATCCTTCACAAAAAATACTTAGAAAGTTAAAACAAGAGGTATTTGGTCAAAATTGAATTAATCGATGGAACCTTCATTCATTTAATATCCTAGTTCTCTCAAACAATTTGTTCGTTGTAAAAGGACGAGCGAAGTTTTCAGTTCTACAACAACTATACGCATTAAATCCCCTTGTGTCTCGTTGAAGTGTCTCATTCGAATTTAGATTTTGTGTGAAGGAAAGACCAGATTTACACACGCCATTGCAGCAAACAAACGAGCAAACTCTTACAACTTCAAATTAGAAAATTTGAATTTACTTGCAATTATTTTCCTCGCCATTTACTTCATGAGCAGCAGTAAATCTTCGCACATGAATTAATCGTCGACGAGAGTGAATAATACTTTCCGTCAGATCATTGACTGTTTTTGAAGAACACATTGTCGTGACAGTCCTTGCTAAACTAGTTTGGTTGTTTTTTCAAAAGTGTACATGCCCTTTTTTTTTCTTACGCGCTCTTCAATTAACTTGTGTCAGATTGTGACAGATACTTGTAAAAATGTTTCAAAGTTTGTTAGGAAGCCTTTTAAATCACCCTTATCTTATTCATTACGTACATGGAAATGTTTTGATGCAGCATCTCGCTTAACTATCATTTACCCGCTCAAATATTGCTCGATTTATGGAGGATCCTGCTGTAATTACAGCCCTAAATCATTCGGGATGTTTTGGAAGGAATTTAGTTCAGTTTAAGGAAAAAAATAAAGATGTTATTCACCAGTCTAAGTCATTCCGTATTGGGAAAAACTGTACTGCCCGAGGCCGTGGGCTGGCAAATAACATATATTTATTTGATGCTACTTCAGCAACACCGACACCAACTTAAACTGATTTGCACCATAAACTCCAGTATGTCAGCGGACTCATTGTAGTTGTAGAAAACATAGTAATCTCTTTTGCCATCGAGTATGATCGTGTTGGAATACATGTAATACATACTACTACTCTTTGTGGAAGCCACAAACAGCGCTAAAATACACAACTGAACAACAGCCATTTTCCTCATCAAAGAGGGGCCTCGCTTTCACTGAGAAACAGCAGCCTTGAATGACCGCGTATTTTCGTACTTTGCCGTTTTAGAGCCTTTTTTCTAATTACTAACGTTGTCAATATCTTTCAGTGGTATTTTTTGTATTTTTACCTTTGTTTTGGCTCCAAAACAAGCTAAGTGCAAAAACAGAGAACAGGAAGCAGCAACTAGAGGAAAAAAAAGATATGTGAAGAGAATATTCAAGTGGAAAGTTTTCAGTGATAACAGGATGGGAAACCAAGGAAACCAGTTGTTTATTTCCTTTTTACGGTGAATCTGAATAGATCAGAATTGAATCATGCAAAAGCTGGAAAATTTGGTAACTTGAACAGATAAGCACGGATATCTTAACCACTATTCCGATAAAGAGAAGTGATAAACTGCAAGCGAATGAACTTAAAGAAGGGTAGAAAATACATAGGTAAAAAAGTGACATCTTAACAAGCTGAAAATTAGCCAGTGATATCTGAGAAACATCCAAAAAGAAAAATCTATCTAAATTTAGGCAATTGGTCGGTAATTTTGGTAATTAATCAATTACCTTCGCTTTCAACCAATATTTACACAAAGTTTCCCCAATTTGAATACATATGTACTTGACTTAACCTTTAAGTATGTCAGTTGTCAATATATCTGATGACTCTTAAGTTCAGGAAATTTAATCAAGCCACGTTACTGTTTGTTTATCTTGAAAAATGTAGCCACACTTTGAAAGTTTCTCATTTTGCAATCAGTGTCACCGAGTTCTTTCGATGATATGACCCCTGCGTTAATTTCAAAATCGACTTGATTAACTCGGCATTTTTACGAGGGACCAACGTTTGCTCAGGGCACAGCAAAAGGGCAACTAAATGTCATTTTTGAAAAACAAATTAATTACCCTGCCTTCGAGACCTAGGCAGCACGATTTTTGTTTTCGTTCAGCCGCAACGAACAAACTGTTTCTTCAGTTTTAAACAAACTTTTAAAACTTTCTTCAATACTTTATAAGCTTTTCAGTGATATACAGTTTTCCAAGTGTTTCTTTGAAAGTAGGGCGCGTAGAACAAAATGTTTTTTTCCAGAATTTTTCCTTGTTTCCTTACATTACGATGTTTTCTGCGCATTTTGTTGCATATTTGTCATCTTTACTTGAACTCCCTCGACTACGCCACACAGTTCATGGTCATTAAGGCAGGCAAAAGAGTGCTAGTTCCTTTTTTCCTCCTTCTTGTTCCTCACTGGGGAAGGGATGGAAGCCAAACCCTAGATAAAAAATTGGCACATACTTCTCCAATTCCAATATTTATCACTTACACTTGAGATTACTGTGCGAGTATTGGGAAAACTGTGAGTTTGAAATGTTTTCAAATTGTGCCGGCAAACATTAAAAGCGTGACGTACAAACAAGCTGTGTTTACATGCTCTCATCTAAACTAACTAGTTTTGGCTTCGATCATGCAAATCACACCCGCTAGAAAATGAAAAGTTCACGAAGACAATGAGTCCATTATCACGCAAAGATAGCTTAGCGTTAAAAAGAAGACTTAGGTTGTACTGTGATTGATCTTGTGATGAAAATCAAACCTCTCAAAGGGGTAAACACTGAAGCCTGACATTTCCTGTTGGAAAAAGAATAACACTTTTCATTTTCCATGTTCAATTACATCATGACCGATAAAAGTGTGACGTACGAAACCGAAATACTGTGTACTTCTTGATTGAGTGGTAGGGGGCGCAGCGAGGTCCTTTCTTCATGACCCTAAGCTAAATATTTTCCCCACTGGTCCCACCAAATTCTGTCAATAAGCATTTTATCATATGACCACTAACTGTTAAAAATGTTTAACCTAAATGGGACGCGATAGACGGGCATACAGGCACACAAAAAAATATGCAATTTAAAACTTTTCCTTTTATTTCAATTAGCCCCGAGGGGGAAGGGAATATCCTGAACACACGTGATCTGGATGCATCTAACACTGTGACAGCGGAAGTTCGGAAGGTTGGGAAAAGTAATTCGTTATTTTTGTTGTTTCATTTTGAAAGCATCAGCCACATTGTCAACATCTTGGTAAGTGCGATTGAAAATCTTTTCTAGTCACTCGGTTTTTATCAGCCTTAGTCATTTAGTAACTGTAGAGAGGTAAGGTTCCTATGGCAAAGCCCAGTACCTACTTTATCCCTTTATTATTTACTTTATCCAGTACCTGATCTTTATGTTTGCAATATGTTACGTTTCGAGTGTTAGCCCTTCGTTAAAGCGGTTGATGGCGCGATTGAATCGTCACCACAGTGAAATAAATTGATTCTACGGCGACTTTTTTTAATCTCTGTGGCTTTATACCGTATAATTTATCCTCATTAACTAAAACAAGGTTATTGAGTATCGTTCAATTCGAGAAATTGATGATCATAAAACTAGACTGTCCCACGCTGACATCATAGGAAATCCGTAGTGCTTCATTATGTGGTTTTCCAGAGGCTATGATCTGCACTGGCTATTAACTTGACACTTTTTTTAGGAGGGTTTAACGATCGATTTAGAGATCGCGGTAGATTCCAATTGAATTTCCGTTTTCTACTTGTACACAAACGTTTCATGGTCGAGAAACCATTCACTTAAATTTTTAGATACTAGCGGCGGGCTTTACGGTACATATTTTTCTAAACGCCGTAATCTGTTTTTTTTCTGCTTAAGCGCTAGAGTCTCGCATAAGAAGATAAGTCATGACGCTGCGCGCTCAAAGAGAGATGTTTTAACTTTCTGAGAGAAACTAAGACTTTCTTAAATTCAATGTTACTGCATACTTAGTATAGGCGTACTTTTCCGTTGATCGGATGCTTCATATCTCCACCGTTAAATGGCTTTCTTAAAACAGTTAAGGTTTCATACAATAAATTTCAACCATAATGTAACTAACATTGTTCATCACTGTTTAGTTTGAGAAACTGATGGTTCCCACAATCACGCGATCAAAAACTAAAACCAATCCTATATTAAGACATATTTATCATGCAGAATGTCTTTTACTGATGTCAACAGAGGCGGCCCAAGCTCACACTCGAGAAAAAGCAAACGATTAATTCATGAAAGCGTCACGCGTTGTGTGACTCGGTGTTAACTTACCAGAGTTGAACACGTCATAAGGAATTGTATGGGGAACGAAAGATGGTCGATTTGAAGTTATAAAAATGTGACGTACAAAACCGAAATAGATTCACTGCGGAGTAAACTACGGATCGGTTTTCCATACCAGTTCATGAAAAGTTGATTATCGCTCACAGATAGCTTACCGTTTAAAGAAAGAAGCTTTATTTCTGTTGGTATCGATCTTGTAATGAAATTTCAATTTTCGAAATGGATAGACACAGAAGCCTGACGTTTCCTGTTAAAAAAAGAATGAAATAATTTATTTTTACATGTTCAATTCTATAATTGGTCACAAAAGTGTGACGTACAAAACCGAAATTCATCCCCCACCTCTCCCTTCCTCAAAAGAAATATGAAGTACTATTAAATATGACTATTGACTGAAAGTCAAGCCACCTCCTATCTCTGATGTCATTTGCTTGTTGCCATATTTCAGTCACTAGATTAACGTCTTCAAAGGTAAGACCAGTGATGTAGTTATGTTCGAGCAAACTACCGATCCACTCCGTCCGTTTTCTTTTTTTGTTTAGTATTGTGTTAATAAAAATAATGTTTCCCTGATAACAGGAGAGGATTGCAATGGAAACCTAACAGCAGAAGCCATGGCACCTTTCATGAGCATCGCCTTACTTGTTGCCCTGTTCTTGCTCAAGTCAGATCGCATTCAGAAAGCCATTGAGATATGCAGCGAATGTTTGATTTTGCTAACTTGCACCGATCAAAACAGCAAAGACCAATTTGATTCAGCACTGCTACAATTTTACAGCGACATCTATACCATTCTTTTCAGCGCTTATCGTCATATCTCTGACTACATAAGTGCGGAAAGATACGGAAGGAAACTGTTTGACTTATACAGAGGGTATGGAATTATGCTTTATAAACTTGGCGAAAGCCTAAAAGCAAAGGAATATTTTGAGAGGGCCCTTCCCATAACAACCAAAATTGGCGACAGAGAAGAGGAAGCATCATGTTATGGAAACCTAGGTACTGTGTTTGAGTCGCTTGGCCAATACGACAAAGCTGAAGAATATCTCCAAAAAGCGCTTCTCATCACAACTGAAATTGGCAACAGAGGAGGGGAAGCATCATGTTATGGAAACCTAGGTACTGTGTTTGAGTCGCTTGGCCGATACGACAAGGCTGAAGAGTATCTCCAAAAAGCGCTTGTCATCCAAACTGAAATTGGCGACAGAGAAGGGAAGGCAAGTAGCTATGGAAACCTGGGTACTGTGTTTGAGTCGCTTGGCCAATACGACAAGGCTGAAGAGTATATCCAAAAAGCGCTTCTCATCCAAACTGAAATTGGCGACAGAGAAGGGAAGGCAAGTAGCTATGGAAACCTAGGTACTGTGTTTGAGTCGCTTGGCCAATACCACAAGGCTGAAGAGTATATCCAAAAAGCGCTTCTCATCACAACTGAAATTGGCAACAGAGGAGGGGAAGCATCATGTTATGGAAACCTAGGTACTGTGTTTCTGTCCGTTGGCCAATACGACAGGGCTGAAGAGTATCTCCAAAAAGCGCTTGTCATCCAAACTGAAATTGGCGACAGAGAAGGGGAGGCAACTAACTATGGAAACCTAGGTACTGTGTTTCTGTCCGTTGGCAAATACGACAGGGCTGAAGAGTATCTCCAAAAAGCGCTTGTCATCCAAACTGAAATTGGCGACAGAGAAGGGGAGGCAACTAACTATGGAAACCTAGGTACTGTGTTTCTGTCCGTTGGCAAATACGACAAGGCTGAAGAGTATCTCCAAAAAGCGCTTGTCATCAAAACTGAAATTGGTGACAGAGAAGGGGAGGCAACTACCTATGGAAACCTAGGTACTGTGTTTGAGTCGCTTGGCCAATACGACAAGGCTGAAGAGTATCTCCAAAAAGCGCTTGTCATCAAAACTGAAATTGGCGACAAAAAAGGGGAGGCAACTAACTATGGAAACCTAGGTACTTTGTTTAAGTCGCTTGGCCAATACGACAAGGCTGAAGAGTATCTCCAAAAAGCGCTTGTCATCCAAACTGAAATTGGCAACAGAAAAGGGGAGGCAACTAGCTATGGAAACCTAGGTACTGTGTTTGAGTCGCTTGGCCAATACGACAAGGCTGAAGAGTATCTCCAAAAAGCGCTTGTCATCCAAACTGAAATTGGCGACAGAGAAGGGGAGGCAACTAACTATGGAAACCTAGGTACTGTGTTTCTGTCCGTTGGCAAATACGACAAGGCTGAAGAGTATCTCCAAAAAGCGCTTGTCATCAAAACTGAAATTGGTAACAGAGAAGGGGAGGCAACTACCTATGGAAACCTAGGTACTGTGTTTGAGTCGCTTGGCCAATACGACAAGGCTGAAGAGTATATCCAAAAAGCGCTTCTCATCCAAACTGAAATTGGCGACAAAAAAGGGGAGGCAACTAACTATGGAAACCTAGGTACTTTGTTTAAGTCGCTTGGCCAATACGACAAGGCTGAAGAGTATCTCCAAAAAGCGCTTGTCATCCAAACTGAAATTGGCGACAGAAAAGGGGAGGCAACTAGCTATGGAAACCTAGGTACTGTGTTTGAGTCGCTTGGCCAATACGACAAGGCTGAAGAGTATCTCCAAAAAGCGCTTGTCATCCAAACTGAAATTGGCGACAGAAAAGGGGAGGCAACTAGCTATGGAAACCTAGGTACTGTGTTTGAGTCGCTTGGCCAATACGACAAGGCTGAAGAGTATCTCCAAAAAGCGCTAGTCATCACAACTGAAATTGGCGACAAAAAAGGGGAGGCAACTAACTATGGAAACCTAGGTACTTTGTTTAAGTCGCTTGGCCAATACCACAAGGCTGAAGAGTATCTCCAAAAAGCGCTTGTCATCAAAACTGAAATTGGCGACAAAAAAGGGGAGGCAACTAACTATGGAAACCTAGGTACTTTGTTTAAGTCGCTTGGCCAATACGACAAGGCTGAAGAGTATCTCCAAAAAGCGCTTGTCATCCAAACTGAAATTGGCGACAGAGAAGGGGAGGCAACTAGCTATGGAAACCTAGGTACTGTGTTTGAGTCGCTTGGCCAATACGACAAGGCTGAAGAGTATCTCCAAAAAGCGCTTGTCATCCAAACTGAAATTGGCGACAGAGAAGGGGAGGCAACTAGCTATGGAAACCTAGGTACTGTGTTTGAGTCGCTTGGCCAATACGACAAGGCTGAAGAGTATCTCCAAAAAGCGCTTGTCATCAAAACTGAAATTGGCGACAAAAAAGGGGAGGCAACTAACTATGGAAACCTAGGTACTTTGTTTAAGTCGCTTGGCCAATACGACAAGGCTGAAGAGTATCTCCAAAAAGCGCTTGTCATCCAAACTGAAATTGGCGACAAAAAAGGGGAGGCAACTAACTATGGAAACCTAGGTACTTTGTTTAAGTCGCTTGGCCAATACGACAAGGCTGAAGAGTATCTCCAAAAAGCGCTTGTCATCAAAACTGAAATTGGCGACAGAGAAGGGGAGGCAACTAACTATGGAAACCTAGGTACTGTGTTTCTGTCCGTTGGCCAATACAATAAGGCTGAAGAGTATCTCCAAAAAGCGCTTGTCATCCAAACTGAAATTGGCGACAAAAAAGGGGAGGCAACTAGCTATGGAAACCTAGGTACTGTGTTTGAGTTGCTTGGCCAATACGACAAGGCTGAAGAGTATCTCCAAAAAGCGCTTGTCATCCAAACTGAAATTGGCGACAGAGAAGGGGAGGCAACTAGCTATGGAAACCTAGGTACTGTGTTTAAGTCGCTTGGCCAATACGACAAGGCTGAAGAGTATCTCCAAAAAGCGCTTGTCATCACAACTGAAATTGGCGACAGACAAAAGGAAGCATCATGTTATGTAAACCTAGGTACTGTGTTTACGTCGCTTGGCCAATACGACAAGGCTGAAGAGTATCTCCAAAAAGCGCTTGTCATCCAAACTGAAATTGGCGACAGAGAAGGGGAGGCAGCTAACTATGGAAACCTAGGTACTGTGTTTACGTCGCTTGGCCAATACGACAAGGCTGAAGAGTATCTCCAAAAAGCGCTTGTCATCCAAACTGAAATTGGCGACAAAAAAGGGCAAGGATCATGTTATGGAAACCTAGGTACTGTGTTTACGTCGCTTGGCCAATACGACAAGGCTGAAGAGTATCTCCAAAAAGCGCTTGTCATCCAAACTGAAATTGGCGACAGAGAAGGGGAGGCAGCTAGCTATGGAAACCTAGGTACTGTGTTTAGAACTGTTGGTGATTTTGAAGCTTCGGAAGTATGCTTGGAGAAAGCCTTATTCATATCCAGAGATATTGGACATAGAAGAAAAGAGTTCGAAATCCTCGAAAGTTACGCCGTTTTGTATTTATGCCAATATAAAATCAAAGACTCCCTGTCGTATCTTCATCTGTGCATTGAAAAGTATGAGGAGCTGAGATATTTCTTGGGCGCCAATGATCAGTTCAAAACATCATTTCTGGAGGACACTGGAATATTTCCCTACAAACTGCTTTGTACTTTGCTTTGTGACACCGGAAATGCTCGGGATGCTCTTTATGTTGAGGAGTTGGGTCGAGCTAGAGGCCTATCAGACTTAATGGCAGAGAAGTACTCGGTTGAAACGCACATCTCTGCTAATCCACAATCTTGGTTTGGCATTGAGAACATTTTAAGAAAGAAAAAAAACTGTACTTGTCTGTACATTTCTTATTTTCAGAATCGTCTGCATTTGTGGATCTTGAAAACAAGTGGAGTCCTTCACTATAGAAGAGTATCACCAGAAGAGAATCTAGTTCAGGCTGGGTTACCCAAAGATTTGTCTTTGAGTCAATTTTTAGATGATAATTTCCGGAGTCTTGGTATTTTGCCCACTAAAGATTGTGAAGATCGGTCTTTAAATACGATTAAATTGCAACCTCTCTCCCCCGCGCAAAAGAGCTCAGCAAGATTGCGACTCGTGGAGGAGGACGAGGCCGAGGACGAGAAAGTGATTTCAAGTCTATATTTGTGTTACAAAATGTTCATTGCCCCCGTTTATGATTTGCTTGATGAGCCTGAAGTCATTATTGTTCCTGACCGCAGATTGTACAAAGTTCCCTTTGCTGCCCTGAGTGAAAGGGAAGGAGCCGAATACTTGTCAGAGACTCATAAGATCCGTATCATTCCTTCGTTGACAACACTCAAGAACATTCAAGATAGTCCAGAGGACTATCACAGCAACGCTGGTGCCTTGTTAATAGGCAATCCCAAGGTTAATTGGCTGCAACCATTGCCAGCTGCTAGAAAGGAAGCGGAGATGGTCGGACGACTGGTGGGTGTTCCACCTCTAGTTGAAAAGAAAGCAACGAAGCAGGCGGTACTTGAGCGGATAAGTTCAGTGAGCTTGATACATTTTGCTGCCCATGGTAACGCGGAAAGAGGAGAAATTGCACTCTCCCCCATTCCTACTCCCAACAGTCAAAACGCTATCCCGAAGGAAGCTTACATGTTGACGATGACTGATGTCTCACGAGTGAAAGTCAGAGCTAAACTGGTGGTACTTAGCTGCTGTCACAGTGGAAGTGGAGAGATAAGAGCCGAAGGAGTTATAGGAATTGCCCGTGCGTTCTTAGGATCTGGTGCTCGCTCGGTATTGGTTGCGCTGTGGGCCATTCCAGACTCAGCAACAGAGAAGCTGATGAGTCGGTTCTACGAACACCTCATTGAAGGAGAAAGTGCCAGTGAATCCCTTCATCAGGCCATGAAGTGGATGAGAAAAAACGGCTTGAACCAAATTTCTGAGTGGGCTTCGTTTACGCTGATTGGAGATGATGTGAGATTCGAGTTTGACAAGCAGAGGTAAGACTCCGTGAGAACAGGTATTTCATAAATTAAAGTGAAATTAGATGTGAAGATGGCTATGACTTACTGGTCGTTGACTGATGTATATCTTTATCTATCTATATATATATATATATATATATATATATATGTACATAAATATAAATATATATATATATATATATATATCTACACGCATTTTTTTTTTCCTTTTTGAAGAGTTACTATCCCGCTCCCTGGTGTAAAGTATAGAATCTCACAGATGCCTCTCTACCAATGAGATACAAGTAATAGCCAATTATTTATATATGTTGTTGCTTGGTGTAATTGTGTTTGCTTCATATCCAAAATGTTAATTGAGGTAATAATAAATTGGGTTATTTCAAATTTTTTCTTGCAGGAAAAAAGACCCCGACAGAGTAAATAATGACAAGTACTCGAAGGGAACAGAGTTAAAAGACTTTTAGATGGATAAATTATCAGAAATAAGTAGAGAAAATACTCTATCCGGTACTTCATCGACATTAAAAAAAAAAGAGCTATCCCAGGTTAGGGGAGAGTTATTCCAATTTCTGGTGCTTTCTTTACTAATATTCTCAGGAGGAGGTAATGGTTATGTACTCAACAATTTTTTGTTTTTCACGCAAAAAGTATATTCTGATATAATAAGCACGAAACAATGTTGACCTACGTAAGCCTTTTGAGTAAAACGCATTCGGTAAATTCAAGACAGTAGTTTAAGTATTAAACAAACCACTAAAATCGGGTTTAATTTTTGTATTTTCAAGCCTTTTGTAAGGAGTCGTGCCGGCCCGTAAACACATTTTAAGTGGCGTTTAGATAGGATTCACAAAAGGAGAAGCGTTGCGCATCCTAAAAATAAATCCGAAGCACTCCACATTAAAAAAAAATCGTACAGAGCTTAAAAATACGACTAAAGGAGGGGAAAGAGGATACCTGACGAAGTTCTGGAGAAATACGTGTCTGAAGTTATCTGCTCCAGTAGAGAAGTATCACTTCCGGCTTTAAAAAAGCTCAAGAACACGCTGATGTGGAAATGTCACATTAAAATCACATGGCCGTAAAACATTAAAGTATATCCTGACCAAGTAATCCTGTTTTGGGATATAGAATTCATCTGTTGTAGAATAAGTTAATTCGTAACACCCTGTAATAACAGCAAAACTAGTCGCTGGTTCCCTTTCATCAAGAGCGTTACTATTTGTAACTGGTTTTTGGCAGTTACGTCCTTAACGTTCTAGTAGAAATACATAACACTATACGTTCCAGTTTAAGACAGCATACGTACTCTTGTCATTAAGCAGAGACAAAGCTTTGTCGTGATATTGCTGTTTGTCCATAACCACAACACAATTACCCTTAAAGTAAATGGTTTGAACCATGGAGTATCAGTACTTCGTGTAGTGTGATCGTCTGGGTGATTGTAGTTCTGAAAAGAACTGTTGTTGGTGACTGACGTTTCGACTATCTGTGCGGTAGTCATCTTCAGAGTCAAGTGAGGAGTAGTTGTCAGTGGATGATGTTATAAAGTCTGGTCTGTTGAACGTGATTGGACCAATCACGTTCAACAAACCAGACACTACACTCACCCGGACGATCACACTACACGAACTACAATTACCCTTGTCAGCAGATAATGCGAGCCTGTCCGGATCCTTTTTGAGAGCTATAAGCGCATTGAAAACATCCTTTTGAATGTTTTTGGGAGGAGTTTAGATCGTGACGATGGCGGTGTGCTTCCTATTTTACGCCTATTTACACCTCGTCATAGAAAAAAAAAAAGGCCGCTAATTAGTGATCATATAAAAGGACCTCTAGTTACAGCGTCCAGATCACCCCTGATGAAGGCACTAGACAGGAGTGACGAAAGGTTGGGTCTATGAATTGTATCTTCTTCGGTTACATTCATTAAATCTGCAAACCAGAGTAGCATCAAACTATGTCTGATTGTCCAACTGGTTGCCGTGTGAACTTTCATGTATTAGATAAGAAGGCATTTGCTTACCTTGGCTCCTTTGATCACTGAACCAGTCGGCCTACAGTTGATGAAGTTCGGGATCTTTTGGTTGGTAACGGTCCATGGAAGCGCGCTTGGCTGTCATCTTCAGATCGCCGAACCATTGATTCGAAACCATTAATTCGAAAATTCCGTATTCCCTCGCTATCTCTCGATTGTTGTTAACAGCTTCAGCTTCAATTACGATTTTCAACTTGAAGTTGAGATCATTAGAATGACGGCGAATTTGGTATGATTGTGCTGAATGTAGACTTCGCAAGATGATGTTCACCAGGTGAAGTAAATTTGCAACTACTGATTTTGTTGATCGAATTGATTTTATACTTTAAAACCGTGTTTCCCGAGAGGGAAGGCTAAAAATTAATATGTACCGATAGGTTGTCATTAAATGTGTGACTTTTTTTTGCCTTTTGTTTATCTCATGTGATTAAATGTGTGACATTTTCGGCTTTTGTTTATGTGTGTGACATTTTGCTTTTGTTTAATCAAGGCTTTTGTTTGGGGGTGCGTCTTAAAGCCGAGTGAGCCTCATAACCGAATAACTCCGGTAGTATGGAGGTAATTACCAGCACTGATCTGGTTTTTACTTGTTCTGCACTTTTCCATGCAGACCGTTTCCTGCGAAACGATCATAATCCATGTATTTTTGTTTTGAAAGGTACCAAATTTAAAACTAAAAAGTTTAGTCTAACTGCAATGTAATGAATCACTTGCTAACTTTTCTTGCTCAAATTCTACTGAAGAATATTGGCCATCCGCTGTTTTTGTAAGGAACTCAGGAAAATGTTCTCTTGTATGGCCCTCAGGCTTGGTAAGAAGTTATCATTTGTAGTTATGGCTGAATTAATCTGCTGCAAATTTACATTTATAAAATGAATGAGAGACAGTTGATTTCATTTTGATTCATATTTTATATTTTTAATAAGGTTGACGTGGTGGGCATGGTCACTACATCCAACGTGTAGGAGTGGCCTCTCCCTCCTAAGTTGAAACATTTTTTATTTCTTTGATAGAAAAGAAAAAAAAGAAATTAAAAGTTGAGGTAAGGCAATGCACTTGCAAGGAGATGTTACCCAACTGACAACTATACTCTAAATAAATTACCCTTTTGCCCTAAAATCCCTATTTGTATTATCATAGATTTTTATCTTTCGATGCCTGCTTATGGCAGCTTTTGTTGGATTGGAAATAAAACAGTCTTTGTATATGTGTATGAACTGGAAACTGTTGCAATGGAACTTCAAAGGGTTTTTTATTTGATCTATATTAAATTTTAATTTCTTTGTCAACAGTCAAAAATAATCATATAAAATCACCTTTTTTCCTTCTCACCTTTAAATCTTTGAAAAATTATTTAATCTTCTATTTGAGAATTGTTAAGAAATGGAATTTATTTTAACACAAATAGGGATTTACACTGTTTAGTAGTATCATTTGTGGCTCTACTGAAACAAACAATGTATTTTCACAGTTGTTAGCTTCCAATCTTTGTTGGACAGTTAGAAAAAAACTTAGTATGTATGAAATGGAAGCATCATACCATGGAAAATGCTTGAACAGATATCATAGGAATCCCGTAGTGCTCCATTACGTGGTTTTCCATTAGCTTTGATCTGCACTAGCAATCAACTTGACTTTGTTTTTAGGAGGGTTTAACGATCGATTTGGAGATCATGGTAGATTCGACTTAAATTTCCGTTTTCTACCCGTACACCAGCGTTTCATGGTCGAGAAACCATTCACTTAAATTTTTAGATACTAACGGTGGGTTCTACGGTACATATTTCAGTTCTAAACGCCGTAATCCGTTTTTTTTGTCTGTTTAAGCGCTAAGGTCTCCCATAAGAAGATAAGTTATGACGCTGCGCGCCCACGAGGAGAAATGTTTTGATTTTCTTAGAGAAACTGAAACGTTCTTAAATTCACTGTTATTGCATACATAGTATGAGCCTACTTTTGCGTTGAACGGATGCTTCATATCTTCACCGTAAAATTGCTTTCTTCAAACCGTAATGGTTTCCTACAATATATTTCAACATCATTAGCAAGATTGTTTAATTTGAGAAACTTATGGTTTCCACAATCATGTGCTCAAAAGCTAAAATCAATCCTATATTAAGACATATTCATAATGCAGAATGTCCTTTACTGATGTCAATAGAGGTGGCCCAAGCTCACTTCTCAAGAAAAAGAAACGATTAATTTATGAATCGCACCCGCAAGAAAATGAAAAGTTCACGAGTACAATGAGTCAATTTTCACGCACAGATAGCTTACTGTTTAAAGACAGAAGCTTTAGTGGTACTCTCGATCTCATTGACCTCGACAAGGAAATCCAATCTTTCCAAAATGGATGAACACTGAAGCCTGACTTTCCGGTTAAACAGAGTAAGATGTATCATTTTTGGACGCTAAAATCCATCACTAGTCAGAAAAGAGTGACGTGCTAAATCGAAATACAGTCAATACAAACCCCACCCGCTAGAAAATGAATTGTTCACGACGACAATGAGTCGATTGTCACGCAAAGATAAGTTACCGTTTAAAGAAAGAAACCAAGGTTTTACTGTGATCAATCTTGTTATGTAAATCAAACTTTTCAAAGAGTCAACACTTATAAGCTTGACGTTCTCCATTAAAAATAGAATAACACTTTTCATTTTTCATGTTCAATTACATCATGAGTGATAAAAGAGTGCCAAATATTTTCCCATCCGACCCAACCAAACTCAGTCAATAAGCAGTTTATCATATGAACACTAACTCTTAAAAATTTCGACCCAAGTAGGACGCGATAGACGGGCATACAAGCACAAATCTTTTTTTTGTCTGTTTAAGCGCCAGAGTATCGCATAAGAAGATTCATGACGCTGCGCGCCCACGAAGAGAGATGTTTTAGTTTTCTCAGAGGAACTAAAACTCTCTTAAATTCAATGTTATTGCATACATAGTATAATTGTACTTTTCTGTTGATCGGATGCTTC